TAGGTGCATGTGAAGAACACAGAGAATATGTAAGTGTGAAGAACACAGAGAACATGAATAATGTAAATGAGGACATGTATAATGTAAAGAGAACAGGTGACGTGTAGATAAAAAACATATAAGAACGTGTAATAAGAAGTGCAGAGAACATGTAGGAATATTTAGGAGAAGTTTGGGATAAACAGTGGAGTATTGTCAGAATACAGTAAGATGAAAGGATCACAACATTATAGAGGCAGATGGAGAATGGGGAGAAATGAGAATAATACGGTAAATAACTCGGAAATTAAGTGAAAGAGCGGGGGAAGTGAGGGGTGAGATGTGTGGGGAGGAAGGGGAGTGAGGGGGTGAGATGTGTGGGGAGGAAGGGGGGAGTGAGGGGGTGAGATGTGTGGGGAGGAAGGGGGGAGTGAGAGGGGATAAGTGCTATGGGAGCTGGGGGGGGGTGAGGGAGGGGGTTAGATAAGAGTGGGGGTGAGGGGAGTAGATAATGGAGTGGACAGGCGCGGGTGTGATGATTAAGGAGGAGGCAGGTGGGGGGGGGGGGGGGAACGAATAGAGGGAGAGAGGAGAGAGATAAGACACTTCTCGACAGGTTAACCATACTTGGAGAGGGTATATTTACATACATACATACATCCAACATACATACATACATACATGCACACATACATACATCCCTACATACATACATTCATACATACATACATACATACACTACATACCATACATACATACATACATACATACATACATACATACATACATACATACATACATACATACATGCATACATACATACATACATACATACATACATACATACATACATACATACATACATACATACATACATACATACATACATACATACATACATACATACATACATACATACATACATACATGTGTACATACATACATACATTCCTACATACATACATGCATACATACATACATACATACATACATACATACTACATACATACATACATACATACATACATACATACATACATACATATGTATGCACACACACAAAGACAAACTCTTCAGCACGGGTGGGAACACGAACAACGAGACACAGGTGGAGACTGAGTACCCACATGAGCCACAGAGACGTTGGAAGGAACTTTTTCAATGTTAGAGTAGTTAACAGGTGGAGTGCACTAGGCAGTGATGTGGTGGAGGCTGACTCCATACACAGTTTCAAGTGTAGATATGATAGAGCCCAATAGGCTCAGGAATCTGTACACCCGTTGATTGACAGTTGAAAGGCGGGACCAAAGAGCCAGAGCTCAACCCCCGCAAGCACAACTAGGTGAGTACACACACGTGTATTGAAGGAGGGTAATGACTGGTGTTTACCCACAGTGATAGGACAGGGGGCAGGGGTGGATAGAGGCACCAGGCTTCTAGAAAGAGTGTGTACTGTGATCTGGGAAAGATGTTTACTGTGATAAACGTGATGACTGAGAACTAACTCACGTGTTCAGAAATAACTAAGTTTGGTGAACACACAACTAAGGCGGAGGACATGAACCAGAGCTTGGTAACTATCTCATTTCTTCTTAATAACTCTGAAATATCTATATCTTAAATCTTAAAGAAATTTAACTGCTAATAGCGAAAATACAAGTGTGAACTAAGGCGGGGGACAGGAGCTGACACTCGGTAACATTGTTTTCTTTTCTTACTAAGTTTTATAACTGTTAATGGTGAAGTTATATGAGCAAACTAAGGCGGAGGCCGAGAGCCAGAGCTCGGTAACTAATTTTATCTTGTTTTCTATGTCCGAAATACAGCAATTTTAAAATCCGGGAAAGTTGGGCTGAGCGAAGGTACGAGAGAGAAGTAAGGCGGAGGACCAGAGCTGGAGCTTGGTAACTGAATTGTTTTATTTTACTACGTCCGAAATAACTATGTTTTAAATCTCGAGAAAATTTATCTGTTAATAAGGAAGTTATGAGAGACGGAGGACAAGAGCTGGAGCTTGTTACTTACCTTGTCTTGTTTTACTGTGGCCCAAATACGTCTCCTTAAAATTTCGGGGAAATTGATCTGATAATAGCGAAGTTATATGAGTGAACTAAGGCGGGGGACAAGAGCCGGAGCTTGGTAACTAGCTTTATCTCCTTTACTACGTACGAAATACAGCCGTTTTAAATATCAAAGAAATTGAACTGTTATTAGTAAAGTTGTAAGAGGCAACTGAGGCGGGGACAAGAGCTGGAACTTGGTTACTAAATTGTTGTATTTTACTACGTCGGAAATGCACCTGTTTTAAATCTAAAGGAAATGTGGCTGTTAATAATGGTGTTGTAGGAGTGAACTAAGGCGGAGGACGGGAGCTGAAACTCGGTAACTATTTTGTTACTACGTCTCAAATATGATTATTTTGAATTTCAGGGAAATTCAACTATTAATAACGAAACTGCACCAATAAATGTATAGAGCCGGGTCCAAGAACTAACACCTGACACTGGTAAATACTTAACAACCTCCTAATGAACATATTCTCTGAAGATGGACTTCCTCTGACCTTAACTTTACTCTTAAACAGTTGCAGTAAAGACCATATTTCTTCCTTAAGAATTCCTTAACAAGGCAGAGTTTTTGTTCCTGTAAAACCTCTAAAATCCGCCGCGGCAGATTGGGACATGACAAAATTTCACCCAAAAAATGTGACAACTTGGCTGTGATGTCCCAGGTCAGACCCTGGGACACCCAGGTCAGACCCCGGGACACCCATTTCAGACCCTGGGACACCCGGGTCAGACCCTGGGACACCCAGGTCAGACCCTGGGACACCCAGGTCAGACCATGGGACACCCAGGTCAGACCCTGGGACACCCAGGTCAGACCCTGGGACCCAAACATGGGTGACCGCATAGCGCGGGATATTATCGGGATAAACCCTCTACACTTTTAATGGACACCGCATAGTGAGGATTTTTGAAAAAAAAAAAACAAAAAAATCTAGGCTATCCGGTCATAGTGTCTGTTGTGGTGATGATGGTGCTCCTAGTGATGGTGATGGTGATGGTGATGGTGGTGATGGTGGCAGTGGTGGTGACTGACAATAGCAGGTGTTTACACGTGCGTGTCAGGAGACTTATAGATGTGATCTCTGGGTCCTGCACGCCGTAGATGTATTTTCCATGACATGGTAATATTGTGTTATCTTGTCTCTCGCGCCACATGTGTACACGCTCACACCTGGCTCCCCCGCCAGGCACCACCACACCCTACTGTGGCAGACCTCCACAACACTACCAACAGTAGCAGCAGCAGAAGTAGCAGCAGGAGGTACGCAGCGAAGCATGAAGCACCCGCGGCGGGTCTGCGCACTCGCCTCCCAAACATACAGATGAGCTCCGAGTCGCAGGTGGAGAGCGGGGGACGAAGCCTGGGCGTGTAAAGCCAACCTTACGGCAGGAACCAATGACTATAATATCCAGAGGAAGTGTCAGATATATTCTACCCATGTCTCAGGCGACCCGTGCCTCCATACGCCCAGGAACCCGTTACCTCGCCAGGTCCTACACAACCCACGACCTAACAAAACACCACAACACTTGACCTACATGGCGTCAGGGCGGAGGGTGACCTACCTGAGGAGGAGGAGAGGGTGGAGGGTGACCTACCTGAGGAGGAGAGGGTGGAGGGTGACCTACCTGAGGAGGAGGAGAGGGTGGAGGGTGACCTACCTGAGGAGGAGGAGAGGGTGGAGGGTGACCTACCTGAGGAGGAGGAGAGGGTGGAGGGTGACCTACCTGAGGAGGAGGAGAGGGTGGAGGGTGACCTACCTGGGCAGGAGGAGAGGGTGGAGGGTGACCTACCTGGGCAGGAGGAGAGGGTGGAGGGTGACCTACCTGAGGAGGAGGAGAGGGTGGAGGGTGACCTACCTGAGGAGGAGGAGAGGGTGGAGGGTGACCTACCTGAGGAGGAGGAGAGGGTGGAGGGTGACCTACCTGAGGAGGAGGAGAGGGTGGAGGGTGACCTACCTGGGCAGGAGGAGAGGGTGGAGGGTGACTACCTGGGCAGGAGGAGAGGGTGGAGGGTGACCTACCTGAGGAGGAGGAGAGGGTGGAGGGTGACCTACCTGAGGAGGAGGAGAGGGTGGAGGGTGACCTACCTGAGGAGGAGGAGAGGGTGGAGGGTGACCCACCTGAGGAGGAGGAGAGGGTGGAGGGTGACCTACCTGGGCAGGAGGAGAGGGTGACCTACCTGAGGAGGAGAGGGTGGAGGGTGACCTACCTGAGGAGGAGGAGAGGGTGGAGGGTGACCTACCTGAGGAGGAGGAGAGGGTGGAGGGTGACCTACCTGATGGAGGAGGAGAGGGTGGGAGGGTGACCTACCTGAGGAGGAGAGGGTGGAGGGGTGAGGAGAGGGAGGGTGGAGGGGGGACCTACCTGAGGGTGACCTACCTGAGGAGGAGAGGGTGGAGGGTGACCTACCTGAGGAGTAGGAGAGGGTGGAGGGTGACCTACCTGAGGAGGAGGAGAGGATGGAGGGTGACCTACCTGAGGAGGAGGAGAGGGTGGAGGGAGACCTACCTGAGGAGGAGAGGGTGGAGGGTGACCTACCTGAGGAGGAGGAGAGGGTGGAGGGTGACCTACCTGAGGAGGAGGAGAGGGTGGAGGGTGACCTACCTGAGGAGGAGAGGGTGGAGGGTGACCTACCTGAGGAGGAGGAGAGGGTGGAGGGTGACCTACCTGAGGAGTAGGAGAGGGTGGAGGGTGGAGGGTGACCTACCTGAGGAGGAGAGGAGAGGGTAGGGAGAGGGTGACCTACCTGAGGAGAGGAGAGGGTGGAGGGTGACCTACCTGAGGAGGAGAGAGGGTGGAGGGTGGAGGGTGACCTACCTGAGGAGGAGGAGAGGGTGGAGGGTGACCTACCTGAGGAGGAGGAGAGGGTGGAGGGTGACCTACCTGAGGAGGAGGAGAGGGTGGAGGGTGACCTACCTGAGGAGGAGGAGAGGGTGGAGGGGGACCTACCTTGGTGCGAGACTTGAGGCGCTCGACGGCCTGGTTGTCGGCAGGTGACCTTGGCACTCTGGTGCTCTTCTCGCGGCACCAGTCAATGTGACGGTCTGCAGCCTTGGGGCCGAAGTGCCGCTCACAGTGGGGACACTGGAGGTAGTCTGAGGGAATGTTGGACACGGGCGCGCCTCCGCCGCCATCCTCGCCCTCTGCCACAACACAAACACCTTTACTGTTCTACTCAACAAAAACTATATTTGTTTGCAATGTCTGCAAGGAAACTATGTCCTTGCAGACATTGCAAGGACGTTCTTTCCTCTTACAGAAACGGTAAAGATTAAAAAACAACAACATTATTTTCCAGATATATAATAGAATTTTACATTAACGTATAATAAAAGACAAAGATTACAATTAATTTGTTCTGGAAAGGACAGATTATACAATTATTTGAAGATGTAATAAAAATATGAATGTAATTTTTTCTAGTCATGGAGAAACATTTAAAAATAATTTTGAACATAAAACATGGCCAATATATTATAGTTACAGAAGTAAAATTGCACATTGTCCTCATCAACAGAGGCCAAATGCTCGCTAAGCCAACCACTACACACCTTGTTCATGAATGCCAGACACTTGTTCCTTCACTGCTGTTTTCCTCCTGATGTGGCTGTGGAGCAGTTTTGGTTGGGTCTTGGCTTTACTCGCGATGTCATTTTCAAACTGTCTCTCTGCTTCCCTCCTCACTCTGAGGTACTCATTTCTGGCCCTCTGGTATCTCTCCCCGCTCTCTGGTGTTCTGTTATTTCTGTAGTTTCTCCATGTTCTTTTACTCAGTTGCTTCGCTACCTTACATTCCTGGTTGAACCATCAGTTCTTCTGTTGCTTTTCGTTTTTCTCCTTTTGGACCAGGATAAACTTGTCTGCAGCTTCCTGGCACTTCTGGGTGACATAATCCATCATATCCTGTACAGTCTTGTCTCTAAGTTGTTTCCCATGGTATTCCCCTTAGGAAGTTCTTCATCTCGTCATATTTTCCTCTTCGGTAATTTAGTCTTTTCCCTTCCGATCCCATCCTTGGATAGGTAATCCCTACCTCCACCAAGTACTCAAATGTCAATACACTGTGGTCACTCATTCCTATGGGGGCTTTAACTTTGACATCTCTTATTTCTGACTCATTCAGGGTGAATATCAGGTCGAGTCTAGCTGGTTCATCATTGCCTCTTACTCTTGTGGGTTCCCTGACGTGCTGGCTTAGAAAGTTCCTTGTTGCCACTTCCAAAAGTTTAGCTCGCCACGTGTTTGCACCACCATGTGGGTCTCCATTCTCCCAGTCTATTTTTCCATGGTTGAAATCACTCATGATTAGGAATCTTGATCCATTCCTGCAGGCAACTGAAGCTGCTCTCTCTATTATATTAATGGTTGCCATGTTGTTCCTATCAAACTCCTGTCTGGGTCTTCTGTCATTTAGTGGAGGGTTGTAAATGACTGCCACTGTTATCTTCGGTCCACCCATTGTTATAGTTCCTGTTATGTAATCTCTAAAAATGTAACAGCCCGGAATTTCCATCTCATCAAAATTCCAGTCCTTCCTTATCAGCAGGGCCACTCCTCCACCTCCTCTCCTTTCCCTCTCTTTCCTTACTATATAGAAGTCCTTTGGAAACACAGCATCTGTTATGACTTCTGACAATTTTGTTTCCGTTAGTCCTATTACATAAGGGTTTTCTTCTTGTGCCTGTTCCGCCAGCTCCCTTGCTTTATTGGTAATTCTATCGATGTTTGAGTACATTACCTTGAAGCTCACTTTCCTATATCCATTTTCACCCTTCGTCTCCACAAGTGTAGGCAGATGTTCCATGGGCATTGCTACTTGGGTAGGCTCATTCTCCTGTGAGGTAGTTGCCAGGGGTTCAGGGGGGAGGTGAAGTGGGGGATGCAGGGCTTAGGTCTTGTCCAGGCCTGCTTGGGGCAGGAAGAAGTCCTGGGGGTGAGGGGGCAGGGAGTGCTAGAGGTTGGGGGGCAGGGATTGCTCGGGAAGAGGGCACACCCTCCTGCTGTGTAGTTAACAGGGGGTTTGGAGGGAGGTGGAGTGGGGGGATGGGGGCTTAGGTCTTGCTTGGATCTGTCTGTGGCAGGAAGAAAACCAGGGGATGGGAAGGTAGGGGATACTCGGGGTAAGGGGGGAGGAAGGATTTGGGTGATATGGTGGGCATTGTTCAGAGGCAAGGAAGGATTTGTGCTGGGGGGGGGGGGACCCTTATGGGGTGGTGGGCTGCGGTGTTGCAATCCCCCTCTGGGGTTCCTGAATTGCTGGATTGGGGTTCCCTACTTCCCTCTGGGACAGCTGGGTTGGAGACTGAGGTTCCCTGGCTCCCTTCCCTCTCCCTGTGCCTTTTCCTTGCATCTGCTGCCCTTATTATCTCGTCCCTGGTCATGTCCCTCTGAAGATGTACCTCTCTGTAGTACCGATGTACAGAAGTGTATATCGGTACTGCGTGTACATGGGCAGTGTGTGTACATGGGCAGTGTGTGTATATGGGCAGAGTGTGTACATGGGCAGTGTATGTACATGGGCAGTGTGTGTACATGGGCAGAGTGTGTACATGGGCAGTGTGTGTACATGGGCAGTGTGTGTACATGGGCAGTGTGTACATGGGCAGTGTGTGTACATGGACAGTGTGTGTACATGGGTACTGTGTGTACATGGACAGTGTGTGTACATGGGCAGTGTGTGTACATGGGCAGTGTGTGTACATGGACAGTGTGTGTACATGGGCAGAGTGTGTACATGGGCAGAGTGTGTACATGGGCAGTGTGTGTACATGGGCAGTGTGTGTACATGGGTACTGTGTGTACATGGACAGTGTGTGTACATGGGCAGTGTGTGTACATGGGCAGTGTGTGTACATGGGCAGTGTGTGTACATGGGTACTGTGTGTACATGGACAGTGTGTGTACATGGGCAGAGTGTGTACATGAGCAGTGTGTGTACATGGGCAGTGTGTGTACATGGGCAGTGTGTGTACATGGACATGGTGTGTACATGGGCAGAGTGGTACACATGGGCAGAGTGTGTACATGGGCAGTGTGTGTACATGGGCAGTGTGTGTACATGGGTACTGTGTGTACATGGACAGTGTGTGTACATGGACAGAGTGTGTACATGGACAGTGTGTGTACATGGACAGAGTGTGTACATGGACAGTGTGTGTACATGGACAGTGCGTGTACATGGGAAGAGTGTGTACATCGGCAGAGTGTGTACATGGGCAGTGTGTGTACATGGGCAGAGTGTGTACATGGGCAGTGTGTGTACATGGGCAGTGTGTGTATATGGGCAGGTGTGTACATGAGCAGGTGTGTACATGGGCAGGTGTGTACATGGGCAGAGTGTGTACATTGGCAGGTGTGTACATGGGCAGGTGTGTACATGGGCAGAGTGTGTACATGGGCAGTGTGTGTACATGGGCAGAGTGTGTACATGGGCAGTGTGTACATGGGCAGAGTGTGTACATGGGCAGTGTGTGTACATGGGCAGTGTGTGTACATGGGCAGGTGTGTACATGGGCAGGTGTGTACATGGGCAGAGTGTGTACATGGGCAGTGTGTGTACATGGGCAGGGGTGTACATGGGCAGGTGTGTACATGGGCAGAGTGTGTACATGGACAGTGTGTGTACATGGGGCAGGTGTGTACATGGGCAGTGTGTGTACATGGGCAGAGTGTGTACATGGGCATTGTGTGTACATGGGCAGAGTGTGTACATGGGCAGTGTGTGTACATGGGCAGTGTGTGTACATGGGCAGGTGTGTACATGGGCAGTGTGTGTACATGGGCAGTGTGTGTACATGGGTAGGGTGTGTACATGGGCAGGTGTGTACATGGGCAGTGTGTGTACATGGGCAGAGTGTGTGTACATGGGCAGGTGTGTACATGGGCAGGTGTGTACATGGGCAGTGTGTGTACATGGGCAGGTGTGTACATGGGCAGGTGTGTACATGGGCAGGTGTGTACATGGGCAGGTCCCCTCACCTGTGATACCCTTGGCCGCCCTGATGGCCCGCAGGAACTCCTGATGTTTCTCCCGCCACTTGGACTTGGGGTTGGACTTGCGCTCCGGGGACTTGGCCCGGCCCGGCCCGCCTGGCGGCACGTCCGACGCCTCCCCTCGCTGCCTGGTCGAGTTGAAGCTCTGTGGGAGTGCAGGATGGATGAGTTGACGGTGGTGGTGGATGAGTTGACGGTGGTGGTGGATGAGTTGATGGTGGTGGATGAGTTGATGGTGGTGGATGAGTTGATGGTGGTGGATGAGTTGACGGTGGTGGTGGATGAGTTGACGGTGGTGGATGAGTTGACGGTGGTGGATGAGTTGACGGTGGTGGTGGATGAGTTGATGGTGGTGGATGAGTTGACGGTGGTGGTGGATGAGTTGATGGTGGTGGATGAGTTGACGGTGGTGGTGGATGAGTTGATGGTGGTGGATGAGTTGACGGTGGTGGTGGATGAGTTGACGGTGGTGGATGAGTTGACGGTGGTGGTGGATGAGTTGACGGTGGTGGATGAGTTGACTGACAGCGGGGTGAAGGAAGCCTCACAGACAGAGGGGTGAAGGATGCCTCACTGACAGCGGGGTGAAGGATGCCTCACTGACAGCGGGGTGAAGGATGCCTCACTGACAGCAGGGTGAAGGATGCCTCACTGACAGCGGGGTGAAGGATGCCTCACTGACAGCGGGGTGAAGGAAGCCTCACAGACAGCGGGGTGAAGGATGCCTCACTGACAGCGGGGTGAAGGAAGCCTCACAGACAGCGGGGTGAAGGATGCCTCACTGACAGCGGGGTGAAGGATGCCTCACAGACAGCGGGGTGAAGGAAGCCTCACAGACAGCGGGGTGAAGGATGCCTCACTGACAGCGGGGTGAAGGATGCCTCACTGACAGCGGGGTGAAGGATGCCTCACTGACAGCGGGGTGAAGGATGCCTCACTGACAGCGGGGTGAAGGATGCCTCACTGACAGCGGGGTGAAGGAAGCCCTCAC